TTTAGTTTGGTTGTTGTTTTTACGCAGACAACATTCATGACTATTGGTTTGTGGATGCTTGGAATTTTGCCTAAACTAGATAAACCGTTAGAATTGATCAACGTAGTAGCAGAGTACATATCGAACCATAAGTGGTGCCACTTACTCACTAGTTTTTTCAAATTCATCTGAATTACTTTTTACATATCGGTAGTGAATAGCAAGAGGTTAAGTAAATCCCTGTTGTGTTACTAGCTTTAGCTGCAAAGAATCAAAGTGAAGGAACAACTCGGCATGCGCAACGTCGGCCTGCATATGGTACACGCAGGAGGACCTCTTCCATAAGTCTGTCGGGGCTGATTGTCGAAAGTGGTCCAGATGTCATCACTTGGAAGAATTATTCTTACCGTTCCTGTTTACGAGGTCAGTGGCTATCTACATTTGTTTGACGGTTACCTTTAATATAGCGTTGTAAAAATTTGTCCGCATAGTGAAAAGTGCTACTGCTATATACACTGCTTCCTGACAATGCCGTTTCATAATTTGTTGTACTGTGATGGCCGTTATGCATAATTTATACTTGCATTATGACACTAAATTCTTACACTAAGCGAAAAGTCGCAAAAGATACAAATGGGCAGTTGTTATGACCCACGGTTAGAAAATACTGGAGTACCCAGAGGGTGGACATGAATGCGCTGTGTCGTTCAGTGTGGCCAGCCTGTACTCATCCTTGACCACATAATCCTTCTAGAGGGAGTCACTTTATACAGAAATTGGTCATCTCAAAACTAAGGTTGTAAATGTATCTGCTTCACTTCTAAATATTAAATCAGGCAAGATTTATTGTATTATTTAAATGCAATCATATCAATTTATTACCTCACAATTGGTCAAAAATTGCTTTTTTATCGCAAAACTGGAGACTTTTAACTTATTTAAGCCTATGATTTATAGTGCTAAGAAATTATCTTGTGTGTGGAAGTGAAATTGACATTCCCTTACACTTTGCAATCCATCAAATCGCTTTTCGTCGATTGCACTGAGGCCAGTTTTCTCTTCTCATGTCTAAAACAGCTTTGATCAGTCCTTGAGATCGGCATGCAATTGTTTAATTTCCTTTTACTTTAGCCACCGCACCGTCTGGTTAATTGAACCAAAGTAAAGGAAGTCCTGCAAAGAGCCATCTTCTAAGCAAGCCTTCTCATTTGATTACTCCACTAACCAATATTTCGCATTTTCGAGTGTATCAATGCGCATGAGGCCAAAGTGAGGCGCAGCGAATCAATCCGTGCCATTGCTGGATTGTCTGTTGTTTTTTATTACACCTGCTTATGCGCGTAACATAAAAGAATAAGATTCAAGTTTCCACACCTTT